TATATATATATATATTAAGAGTTTAACGTGTAATTTAAAGATATTTTATTACAATTAATACAAAAAATAAATTTATTTAAATATAAAAATTACAAACAATGTATATATTATGTGATATGACAGTATCTATTTCATTCATGAAAATAATGCACAATGTTTATTATAGGCATATATTTTTTGAGTTCTATTTCTCTACTAAAAAAAAGATAAATAGAATTTTGACATCATTTTTACATTTACCAAAAATCTGTATATATTCTGTTAGTGTCAAGTAAAAAAAGAAATGAAAAAATAACGACTGGTTATTTTTTAGTAAAAAGAACGGTAACGAGTATTTTTATGAGGTAACATTGTCAATCCTGGTTATATCTCTCAATTCCCATAATTAACTCAATGATTGAACCTAATTTATGGCATAAGAATACAAAAAATAAGTTTAAATATCGTACTGAAAAAAATGGATTTTTCAATCATTTATCGGATAATAACAAGCAAATACTCTTGGAAAGTGCAGATAAGGAGAAGGAGAAGTAGTTATTGCTCATTACTTATTCTTATTAAGTACATTACTTAATAAGATTGATTACGAACAAAATGATATTCACAAAATGCATAATCTTTGTATAGAAAGCACCCATGGAAGTCTTAAGAATATTATTACATTTTTATATTTGTACATTAATTTTACTTTTTTGGAATAACATTAATATTAATTAATAATAATGCAATAATATTATAGTAAGATTAACATTAATTGAAGTAAGTATAATATAGATATATGTAGTGTCTGTTGATATTTACCAATAACTCTCTTTCTTTCTCATTCTCTTTCAAGCTTGTTTCCTTTTATGTAATTTATTGTTAAATGTGGTATATATCTGATAATAAAACTTAATAAATACTTTTATTATTAAGAATATACTTAACAATATTATAGTAAAATTAAACAATAAAAATGCATAAACGTCAATTAGATTTTGTTCCATCCAGCTTTGATATCTAAGTGGAGTTGCTAAAGTTCTATTTGGATGTCGGACTGCATATTCAATGCCCCAAATAGCTAAATCTAACGGTGGTATTGGTCGATCTCGGATTCACTAGATAATTGTTTCATGTTTCTTGTATGTCTGCAACAAATATGTATTACTATTAATATAATCTTACGTTCGTATAGATTACATTTTAAATTCCGTATGAGCATATCTAACTTTTTAAATGTTTTTTTCATTGCTTATAATTTTTACAATTAACTTAATTCTTTTAATTTTTTTACTAATAAAAGTACTTCAAAAGTATAGCAAGGTGACATCAAATGATATCTTTAATGTCAATGGATATGTTCAGCAGAAAAACTAATCAAAAAGCGATCATTAATTTTTTAATGTCTTATATTACACTCAGATCCAGCAAAAAACAAGCTGAAACAAGAATCAATCATATTAAAGAATTGCCGAACTAATCTCTTTCTACCGAACGCAGCCAATATAACGTTATTAAAACGTCATTTTGTTACTTGGGACATCACGCTTAATGAAAGCAAATCACGATGTAAAATTTTACTCTAAAAAAGATGAGTCGGTTGCCAATTACAACCAAATAATTTCATACTCTAATCTTGCGAAATACATTGGCATGACACTTGATCTAAATTTCGTTAGAAGAAGCTTACAAAGAGAGGAAGCAGAATAACATGCAAAAATATTTAATATAATTTCATCATTTCAATTCTATTGCTCGTTGGCCGAGCGTGGCCGACTTCTCTCATATGCCTGTGTGTGTGGTAGCACGCACGCTGGTAGTACAGAATCATATGTATATCTGACGTTTCGATGGAACAATATTCGTTTTTATGAAAGTTATAAGCAATTGAATTAGGTCGAATATGCTACACTTAAGTACATTGTTCCCATAATGTGGTATTAAAAGATTAATTAAAAGTAAAAATGAGGATAATAAAATATATAAATAGAAAAGCAAGATTTATAATCAGTTTTTACAAGAGTGTTTAAATCAATTATAGTATTATACTATCTTATATTAATTTAAACATTACTTCGAATATTATATATTATTTGATTATATTAATTTACTATATATAATAATTATGGTATTAAAACGTAATAGAAATTTGATACCTTTCATCGTAAAGTATTTCTTCGACTACATGTAATACAGTCTGCGTGGACAATGTTTTAACATCCAAGTATATTCCAACACCCTTAGCTACTAATTTTTGTGCATTGAAATTTTGGTCTATATAGAAAGGCATTACAATCATTGGTACTTTCCAAATGGCTTCCTGTGTACTGAGAAGACCACTATGAGTCCAAATTGCTCTGACATTCTTATGAGCTGCATATAAAAATTTATTATAATAAAAATCTCAATTGTTATAATGAATCATTCATATAAACATTTTATTAATTATATTAATTAGTTATATTAATAAACAACGCAGTTTTTAATCTAATTTTGAAATCTAAAAATCATTTTTAGAAAAACCAGTTTCTATTTAAAAATGCTAACCAGTTATTGTAAAAAAATAATAAAATATAATCAAATACTCCAAAATTAAGATTATCTACAGATATCAACAAAAAACTGTTAAAAAAAAAAGCATTCAAATATTATTGTAGAGATAATAAGATACGTAAATCTAATGCAAAAATCTCCCTAGTAAACGAGAACGAATTGACATCGATTGAAATGGATTCAAATTTTCAGGGATATGCTTCTGAGAACGTTAAAATGAGATTTTTTTTTATTGCAATGCATTTTTATTCATTTATAAGCATATGAATAAAGTACATTTCTATGTCTCTTAATCTAAAAATAATATAATTTTTCTATGTCTTGTGAGAATATTTTTTAATTCGAAATAGGAAATGCAATTTTTTAATTCAATCATATCCAAATAAATGGAAGAATGAATCATATGCTACTGAAATATGCATTCAAATAGATATAAATAGATTATTAAATTTCAATCCATTTTAATCCATTCTTACTTACTCGGTTATTATGTTATACCATATTTATTATAAAAATAAAATTTTACTATAACTAATTATCCAAGAGCTATTTAAAATTAAAATATTCATATATTTTCGCGTTATATACGAATGTTTTTGTTACAAATGTACTGCAAAACTATATTGAAACACTAAAACGATGATTGAAATAACAATTCGCATCGCGGTAATATATAAAAATTAATGGTCTCAATTATAAATTATATTCTATGCTATTTTTTAAAATAATATCACAAAAAAAGTTTTTACAATTTTATAGACATTTTATGGTAATTGTGAATAAAGATAGGTTAAATGAACTTAATTAAAAAGAATTCACGTGTTAATAAAAGAAAAAAATGTCTAATCATGGAGAAAATATATATTGGTTATCACGTTTTTTTTATATTTTTTAAGAATTACATCGTACATAAAACTTCGCTTTGCGGCATCCATTTTACAATCATCAGATTGTCTGGTATTTCAAATGGTACTTCAATATCTAGCTTCCATAATATTCGTTGTTCTAATTTCGATAGAGCCAATGAAACAATCTTAATTTTGTCTAATCCGATAAATTTCCATCTCACATTTGTTCCTAACGATACTATGATAACTCCATTTTTTGCTCCATCAAGGAATGCGCGTATATCCTGTGAAATAATGGTTAACTAATATTTTGATAATAACTGCAATGTGTTATGTTACAGTTATAATATTGAAGAGAAATTACAATTAACAAGAACATTATATGTAACTTTGTATATTTACTAAGAATCGTTCTTCGAATGTTCGAAAAAATTCGAAAGTAAATACTATAAATAATAATTTGATGAGATCATCTCATTAAATTTCTTCAGTATATATAATTTTTTGCTAATATGTATTTTTTGCAATTTTTACAGTTTTAAACTAAGAAGAAAAATAAATGCATGTAAAACATTTACTTGCAGCTAGTCTTCAGTTAATCTACTTGTCGACCGATTAAACATGTTGTTTCTTACCTATGAATCCAAAAAAATACATTCGATTACTCGAATATAGACAAGCTATTTCGTTTGATGTAAATATAATATATACAATTTCTCTTACCTCGGGATATGTTACGACTATTTCGCCATCAATCGGTTTTATGGCCTGAACATTCAGTCCTGCAATCTCCAAAATATTCGGAGACAATGGAATTCCATGCTCGAATGACTATTGAGTAGTACAATATCAATACCGTTTTTTTCTACTTCATGTAATGGTCTAATTGCGTGGCCTACGTATTTCTCAGCAAGCCGTTGCATAATAGGCAAGAAATAGTAATGTCGTATGAAATCATCAACAGTAAAACATACAGTATTCCATGTTCTCTGCCATAAACCTATAGGTTTCGCAACAGGTAAATATGCATAAGGACCAATAGTTGGATAATTTGGACCTCCGGTAATATCTTTGAGCCAAGGTGCAGGACTATACGGAATATATCCTACTATGGGTTTATCTTTAACATTCTAAAAAATAATATCCATAGAGTGACAATGGAAATAGCTAAATCTAATTGTTGTAATAAATAGATAAAATAAATTAAGCACTAATATTTAAGAAATTGCTTTATCCTTATCTCCCACAATCCGAATAAACACTCATTTAATGTAATATCCTATAATATAATATCAAACTCAACAGTATTGATCATTTCCAAAAGCTTTTTCGCTGCTTTTGTTTTTACAATTATGTCACATGCATGAATTCCCCATTGGTATACAGAATACATCATATAAAATGTGCTATACTGTTCCCATTCAACCGGATTGTAATCCGCTTCAGATTCTTCCATTACTTTCATCAAACCATCGAATACCTGAAAATAATAAGTATTCTTTACTGTTAATGAAAAAAATATATAGAAATGAAACTATATATATTGGGAGCTCAGTTAATGATTTGAGATACGTTCAAAATAAAATAATATTTTAAAACAGAAAGATTACATTCTTTCGAATTTGTTTCACAAATTTAAAATAATCAATTTTTATTCAAAACGTTTCAAGTTCCATAACATTACTTACATCGTACATCAAATTCTGCGGTTTATCTTTGATCTTAATCTCTGTGTGCTACGTGTACATGATGGCCTTTGCGAAGCAATCCTTTCATCAAATTTATCGTCCAGACATGATGGCTAAGTGATGGAAGGATCTATTAATAAAATTGACTCGAATGATTTCGATGTTGTCACAAGGCCGATTAAAATACAATACAAATACACAAGGAGCATCAAAATGAAGCAACTCGACATTGTTGTGGTAAACTTGAAAGTCTTCTATATCTTTAAATCAAATCTCAAGATTAAATGCCTCAGTATATTTATTTCCTCTTGTCTTCATTCTACGATCAGATAGATTTTATCATATTAATTATCTCTCTTTATGTAATGGCACAGTATACAGCTCATCTCTCCTGATTTTAAGTTAGCCAAAATGAAGTGCGCATACGTGAAATAAATAAGTTGCTCCGGCTCTTTTCCTCCTTTCCTCTCTCTCTCTCTCTCTCTCTCTCTCTCTCTCTCTCTCTCTCTCTTCCTCTCTCTATTTAAACGAGCGTCAATGTTCCACTTAAACATTTGTCTTTCAAGCATACTTGGTTTAGAATAGAAATGTAGAGGGAAGTATTGTCCATTGATAAAATGTTGTGTGAGAAATCTCTAGAGATTAGGCTAATTTTTCTGAAAAAGTGATAAAGTGAAAAAGTGAACAATAGTAACATAGAAAACGGAGCAAGAAAGATTTCTTTTTATTTATTGTATTTTAAACTAATTTTTTGAATACATATTCGTATGTTTATATATTCGTATGTGTATATAAATTTCTTTTATAACAACTTCTCATAATGACAACAGCTTTTCATAGATATATAATTAAATAATCTTTTTATACAAATATACATTTTTAAGTTAATTTAACATTTTTCCTATATTTTTCTATATTTTTTTCAATATATTTACAATTTATTTTTATAACTTTTCATAAAGTTTAAATTATTTCATTTCAATATTATGTTTATTCATGTCGCATGCTGTAATATGCTCCAATATTTTCCTACAATAGCACTTATTCATTTCAATGAATTCGTTGGATTGCGATGCGAATCAATCTAGTGAGTTTTGGGAAGAAGTTTGACAGAGTGAGAAAAGGATGGGAAAAGAAAAAAATTCAGATGGCAATGCTAATTTACTTATTTCACGCATGCACACTTCATTTTAGCAACACTAACATTACAGATTTCAATAGATAGTTGCGCTACTGTATATATTGCGATAATGGACTAACAATATAATATCATTATTTTATTATATTATATTTATTATTTATTATATTGTAATATCATTGTAATTTTCTGGATAATTTATACGATAATACATAAAAAAATCAAAAAAAGAGTTACATAAGTAAACTATTAATAATGTATATATAATGTATATATTAGGTGTGGGAAAAAGTTCGTGGCGTTTTTCCCGTTAAATGTAACGGGAAATACACCTAATATGTATATGGCTAGTATTTAATTCCCTACTATTATAAATTATTATTGACTTTGATTGAATTGATACATTTCATTTACATTAAAATGCATGTAAACAATTATTCGATGCAATGTTGAGTAGGTAACATATATCGATAATTATTAATTCTATGATGTTGCTTTATTGGTATTTAACAATAATTAAACAACATACTCAAAATGCTCAAAAATGCATAGTTTTCAAATTATCGAAACTTAATGAAAAATCATCAGATAAAAAAATCACTGACAAAAAATAAAAAAAAATATTAAAGTATCACTTTAATATTTTTTTTTACTTTTTTACTTTTTTTTACTTTTTTATCTTTAAACACGATATGAATACACAACTAGAAATAAAGAATATCACGCACGCAATGCATGCATCCAGATTCGATTCTCGTTCAAGATAATATTTTTTGCAATAAAATTATTTATAGTTTTAAGTTGCTTAAGAATTATTATAAAGATATACTTACGAGCATCATTATTATTAAATTGCATGTCAATTTAATTTATTACTGCTCTAGATTTGTTAGAAGTGCGTTTCAAGTCTGAAAATAAATTCGGTGCGCAGTTTGAAGGATTGTGGTGTATATATACATGGAATTATTTCAGTATCAAAGATCCAAGTTTGGCCATTTAGCCTTTATTTCTTAAAAACTAAAAATCATTTTCGAGCTTGAAACTTGTATTTTAATACTTTTGTCTATTTTTCCAAAAAATTTTTACTGTTCAGTATCTTTAAATAGCACATTATTTTTGATTCTTCAAAATTACATACATTTAGTTTGCAATTCGATACAACATTTTTCTAAAAAATTTAATGCTTTTACAAAAAAATACAAATTTTATCTGCAAAATATTTTTTTTAATTTTCTTACAATTTTCCTTAACCGATCAATTACTAGACTTTAAAATTAATTATGCTTTTCTTACAATCAAATTTTAAAAATCGGCGAAAAATCACAAAAAGTATTTGGAAGCTCGAAATTTGTATTTTAATATGCTTTTGACTATTTATAAATTTAATTCTGCAGAATTGAGGAGATAAAAGAATTTTTACAATTTGTTGTTTTTACGATTTGTTGCCGAATGTTGTTCAATGTTGGTAATAAGAAATGCAGATTTAGCTTCAAAAGTTGCGTAATTTGGTTAAGAAAAATTTTTTTTAAGAAAATTTTTAAAGGCTGTTTTGTAGTTAAAACATTGTAAATTTAATACTTTTATAAAAGTATTAAATTAAAAAAAAAATTTTGTATTGTGCTGCAGACTGCAGAAATATTAATCCTGCTCTACAATTGCGTAAACCTAGTTGTAATTGTAAGAATTAGCCAATTACACTGAATATGAGGAGAATATCCGACTGTGGGAATAAATTGTTACAACTACGACTACTTATAAATTACACAATTATAGGTCAGACTCAAAAAGTTTCAAGTTCTAAAAGCTTTTTTATTTTTTTTTCATCATTTTTTTTATCAATGATAATTCTTCACCAACTTTGGTGATCCAAAAATTGTAAATTTTGAGTATTTTAAAAGTATTTTCTATGTTGAGTAGTATATAATGACATACCTGATTTTTCGTTTCCAATTCTTTTTAAAAATACATGTGCTTAGTTAGTACATTATGTTTCTTAATATTCAGTGTTTCGATTGAAAAAAGAATTCTTTACAATATATTCATTTTCATATCAGTTACAAGAAATCGTATTGAATTGAATAAAACATATCAAAAATATGTTATTATTATAGTCCGCACCGGCACCGAAGGATTAACATGCAAATAAAATTGTATTAATAATGTATATATGATGTACAAAATTAACAACTAAATTGTGTGTAACAAAACTAAATTGCGTGTAATTATCATAGATATCCATAAATATCTATGATATCTACATCATACAATAGATATCTATGATCATTAAATTTGCAATAAATATTAAGGCCCAAAGAAAGCATTTTTGTATTTTTTAATTTTTAATTTC